ACAATAAACACCTCTTAATTTGACTTATGCCATTCATAATTAATAATAATAGAGGCAATTTACGTCATTTACATAATTAAAAGCATTCAACTTGTAAAATCAAACACGTAAGATACTCTTTTTATTTAAAATAGTGTCATTTAGAAACTCGGACGATGAGAAAAGTAACTAAAAGAAAAAGAGAAAAAGAAAAGAAAAAGAGCTATACTAGACAACATCATAGTGTGTGGAAGATTCGATGCATTCCGGAATGAGAAAAGAGTGTGAAAGAGAAAAAAAGCAAAGAATATTGCTTCTCTTTTTTTGTGTTGAATTAATATAAAAAAACAAAGCAAACTCTATAACATACAATCAATGTTAGCAATTACCATAAAATGCAACGTCAAGAGCAAGCTATTCAACTTTCAGATCATATTAAAAATAAACTTAAACAACATCACTATTCAACAGAATCATCATCATTAATTAATTCATCTAATGAATTTAAAGAAACTAATGATAATAGCAATGACCATGGTATATAAAATTGTTTATTTTTTCCTATATTGACTAGAGATGTGCAGAGGAAACTTTTTCCGTACTCTGTACTCTTACTGACAAAGACTTTCTTACACCTATCCTATCCTGGAACATGGTTACCCTACTCTCCCCTGTATATTTCTAATATTGACAGGGAAATAAAATCTGTTTGTCCTTTGTTTTGTTCAAATTAGATTCATCACTTTTTGCATCATTTGAAAATGTAACTCGTCCACGTCATGATACATTTACTACTTATCAAGTTACAGAACCATGTGAATTATTTTTTACTGAAGGAAAATCGAATCAAACTGCAAATGTTTCTATTCTTCAAGAAGAATATAAAAAACAACATGGCTGTCAAGAATGTATTCATCGTAATCATATACTTCCTTTAGAACGTCAAAAATTTTTACGTCTTTATGAAGAAAATAAAAAATTAAATGAACAACTTCGCGCATCTATTCTACGTAATCATCAATATGAAGAAGAAATTCAAAAATTAAAATATCATCTAACAAAAATCAATTCTCATCTTTATGAATATCAAATTAATTTTGATCAGCTCAAACAAAAAATTGTATCCGAGAAGAAAACAAATCCAAAAATAGATAAAGAAAAACAAATAGAAACAGATGAAGATAAACATAATATGACAAGTGATCATTTAAAAAGACTTCGATATGAAGTACAAATGTATAATCGACTAGTAGATGCCAAACAACAACAAGAACAAAAAATTATACAAAAAAGACTTGATTTTTAATTTTAATTATGTATTTTTTTTTTCTCCTCTTTCTTCAAATTTTAAATTGTATAACAAACAAAAAGAGAAAATAAATAAATGTGATTAGTTTAAACAAAGAATGTTGTTATTTTATGATTGTTCTTAGTTGAAATAGGTTTCGATTTAATTGATTTTGGTTTTGATTTAAATGTTGTATTACTTATACGTCGAGTAATTGGTATTGAATGTCCACCAAATTTATTAAAAGTTCGTCTAAAATTATTTTGATTTTGTACTAATGGACGAACAAGATAATCATCACATTCTTCAATATCATCATCTAATTTTCTAACTTTCGTTTTTTTCATCGTCGGTAAATCAAAACTTGATGTTGTTTCTTGAATTATTGAATGAAGAATATCAATAGCTGATGTTGTTGTTGCAAATTGTTGAGTAGAAAATACAGGTGATGGTGTTCGTTCAGGAACATTTGTAAGATCAATCATATTTGAATCGGTCTCATCCTCTTTTGCACTTTCATCATCAACTGCTGGAATAGGAATAGGCTCTGATGGTTCTTCAAGTCGCACACGAACTTTTTGTGTAACACTATCAGACATTGGACTTTCATGAAGGACACGTCGAGCAAGAGAACGTGTATCAGGTGAGGCAGTACGAAGTAAAAGTGACTCTAATTGATTAACACGTGATTGATAAGATTCAAGCTGTTCACGAGCACATGTTAATTCTTGCTTTGTGTTGTCTGCTGCAGTTGTTTGTCTAAACAAGAAAAATCATGTTAATCAACATTTAATTTCTTTTCTAAATGAGTTAAAGATGTATCGGGAAAGCGTTTTTCTTACCCTATACCCTAACTGACGAGGGAACCTTTGCAGGTGTCCGCTCGAATTTCAATGAAATTTTGCCCATAGATACTACATAGTACCCTAGTAAGAACTCTAAAATGGTTTCGGTTTCTATTGCTTCCTTCAAAAGTTATGACCATTTTACTGAATTTTTTACCCATTCCTTTGTATTTATCGCAAAAATCAAATTATCGAATTTTGACCTGAAATTTCGTCCATAGGTAGGCCTAATGACCCTTAGAATATTCTGAAAGTTTCAGCTGAAAAGAATGCTCCTTTCTTGAGATATTGAGTTTTCAAGTGAACTCGGTTTTTGTGACCTATCTGTGGCAAGCGACTATTTTTTGAAAACTCAATATCTCGAGAAAGAAACATTCTTTTTGGCTGAAACTTTCAGAATATTCTAAGGATCATTAGGCCTACCTATGGACAAAACTTTGGGTTGAAACTCGATAATTTGATTTTTTCGATAAATACATACTAATGGGTCGAAAATTCAGTAAAATGGGCATGGCTTTTGAAGGAAGCAGTAGAAACCGAAACTCTTTTAGAGTTTTTACTAGAGCACTATGCAGTATCTATGAGAAGAAATTCATTGAAATCCGAGGGGAGCACCTGGGAAGGTTCCCTCGTGAGAAAAACTTTCTTATCCTTACCCTACCGTTTGTAGCCTAAGGTAGGGCAATCTTGCACATGTCTATTAGAGATCAATCTGAACTGTCGAACACTGATTGATTCAGTGTTTTATCTACATACAGATTTTTATGATATTAGGAAAAAATCTTTCCATATGTTCTTTCGAAAGATATTTGAAGTGCTTTCTAAGCAAAGTAAACAAATCATTCTTTCACTTGTAGGTATAATGGAACGAAGATAGCTCGTGTTCTAAATACATCTATATTTCCAGTTAAGATATTAGGAACCACTGGCTAACTGAAGTCGTTTTCATAAAATATAAAACTGCTATTCTGATAAGAATTGTCGATATTTTCTAGCAGAAGAGGCTGGAAACCCCAACATTCTCGAAATGCTAGAAGTGATGGTTGGCGGTAGTGATGGATGGAAATAACGATACTTACTGTGACCCGATCCTACCACCAGGTCGTTTCTCTCTAATCTTATTTACTTCGCAACGGCATTGTCTGCTTATATTTAATTCACTTTCTGTCCGAGAAAGCCATCTTCCTCTTTTATTGAGAACGCTGATTCTGATAAATAACAATGAAATGTAGCTATCACATTATTTTTAAAACAATTTCATCTCTTTTTCAATTACTAGAAACACAATACTTCAACACATTTTAATGATTGACTGATGTAACTAACTCAATTTAAAAAAAAATATCTATTAGTCATGGAACATAAAGAAAACTACTACAATTGGCTCTCACTAAAACATAAAGCAGTTCGTAGCTAAATATAAAAAATACTAGAGAAAAAAATGTCATTGATAATGAAAGAATAAGCTTTCTTGTAAAGAGTTTTAACACCAAAAATTTTAAAAAACTATTTCATATTTTAATCTTAAAAGGAATAAAAATGAAGCTGTTTCTTTTAAATTCATTGAATTTTTCAATAAATATTACCGTTTAAGTGCTTGTCGTTTTTCTAATTGCATTTTTTCACATTGTACAGTTATTCGATCTAAATTTCTTATTAAATCTTGTTTATCATCTGACATTTTACTATGTTCCTCTTTTAATATAACATTATAACGTATCAATTCTTCTATAACACGATCTTTATCTTGAATTGTTTGACAAGATCCGACCATTTTTTGTAATTCAGCTTTAAAATTACTGGCAAGACCTTAACAAAAAGAAAAACAAATCCAAACATTCTTTATTAATAAAAACAAAATGACAAAAAAAAATACCTTTATAAATTAGTTCAACATTTCGATATTCAGCTAATTTTGTTTGTAAAGATTTAATTTGTTCATCTTTTTTATTTGATAAATCAACATGTCTGAAAGATAGATATCGAATGAAATATATTTACAAAAAAAACTAAACAATCATCTACTTGTATTGTTCAATTAACATATTGATTTTAGCATCTCGTTCATTTATTATTCGTTGATTTTTATTTGATTGTTCAGTTAATTGTTTTCGTAATGAAATAACATCATTTTCGAATGCTTGTCGTCGTTCTTCACTCTAATCAGTACAATATATAATAGAAATAGAAAATAATAATATTTGTTTACTTTTTGTAAATCATGTAAAGTTTTTCGACAACGTTGTTCACAATCGAGTATTTTTGCTTCTTGTGTTTCAATTTGATTAAGAAGCTCAGAAGAATCTTGACCACCACATGGTACTTGTGTTTGACAGAGTGGTTCCATTAAATAAAGTTTTCTGCAAGAATAAGGCAATGCTTTATATGATTTCGAATTCGAAAACAATTTTTACTTTAAAACTTGTTTTGGTGTAATTGATGTACGACATTGTGGACAAGTTTTTTTTCGTTCGTCGATAAGCCATCGATCCAAACATTTATCATGAAATAAATGACCACATGGAGAAGCTGATATAATTGACGAAAGAAAAAATCGATCCAAACAAATTGTACAAGCAATATTCATATTTTCTTTGTAGGAAAACTATTTATTTCATTAACTTGAATGAATGAAACTGTTTAGACAGTTTTGAAAAAAAAATTTAATGACCAATAGCATCGGGCCATTTTTACAATGAATAGATATGAGATTAAGAAAAAGATGTCACTATACTGATTTAATCTTTCTTACTTTATTAGTAGGAATCGTTCATCTTCTACGAAATGAAATTGATTAAAGACTAAAAAAGCAGTAAACTGTCTTGATCCAAGAAATGAAAAAATGTCTCAGAGCGTTGAATAGATTGATTTCGGCAAAATATGTACATGTTCGAATAAGGATGTGTTCAAGAATATCTGCATTGGAAGTGACTGGCAAAAATCATATTGGTAGCTTCATTCAATGACATACGTTAAGAGGTTTTAATGGACATGAGAAATCATATGAAGTGATGACAATGCTTAGAAATTAAATAGTTTTCATTTATGAAGAAAGATAATCGATTATAAATAACGTGTCATTAGCAAAAGAATTTATTTTTGAAGATATTATGTATCGATCTCCTGATTACCGAACAGTTCCGGTATAGCATAATATTTTTATACACTTGTTTCTTATGCAATGCACATTAATAATCTCAAAGTCTTCTAGAATATTCTCATTAGTTTTCTTTATTCAAATGAAACGGTCTATTTGCTCTTTTTTTTCTATCCAAGTATATGTACAAATAACTCAACCGAGTGATGTGTTGAGAATCAGCTCGTTCTCAAGACCAACGAGAAACGAAAACATCAACTAATCAAGAGCTCAGTGAAATTCGTGAGATTTTGAAATTATAAAACCTGATATGTTCTTATATTTAACAACAAGATTGATTAGTTTCATTGATAATTCTATATTTTTATTGGCAAAAAAGATTCTTCACGAAAATAATGGATATAACACAAAATTTACCTTGAATTTTATACTGGTGAAAAATTTTAATCTTTGAATTAATTAAAATATGTTCACCTAATGCTTCACTTTTCAACGAATTTCATGATAACTTTACAAATGTTTCAGGAACCACTCGCCTGTTGCTCGTTTATTGCAATTATTTTAGCGATAAATATTTAATCATGGTTAAAAGCCGCCTCCTCTTCATTCAAAATCGATTTTCGATGCAGTGCATGGGATTTCCATGAAACTTCCTGAATATATTCAGTCAATGGAAGTGCATTAACCAAAAACCTTTTTGCGATTTCAAACCTTACCATTCAGAAGATTTCCAAGTATCAAAATGTAAAATAGAACTCATGCAGATGCAAATGTTTCTTTTTTCAATACACGCCAAGCTATAGCGCTCGAGCTACTTTCATTTGAAAGAGAATTTTTTTACTGTTTCAGACGAGGGAAATAGTTTTCAAATTTTTAGTTTATATCATTTTTGGAATCCTGAATAACTTAAAATTCCAAAGATCCTCGATAACGTTTTCTAGAAAACTCATGGTTACTTTAGTATTGAGAGTCAAATAGAAAATCTCTTTTTTTGTCATATGAGAAGGAATGCATCTATCTATCGAATAAAAAGAACCACAGTTCAATACGACGAATTATATTGAAAAACCTTTATTCAAAGTTTAATAATTTATACAAAAAACCAATCTCGAAAAATTAAAAAATTCATCTTGAATCTTATTGAGTAATTTTCTGGCTAAACATTGGGCTGTGATGGACGACGATAAATACAATGGCATTTATCATTTTCTTACAGGTTTAAATATCAGTGTTTTCGTTAGAGGGAGCTCTAGGAATTCGTCTTGAATTCTGAATAAACCTTTTAAAATTGGAAATTATTTTTATGCATTTTAAAACTACACAACTTGCGGGTCATACCTATATATTTATCTCAAAAAACAGCAAAAGTGTCTATTTATTTTGAAAAATCTATCTTTGAGAGGATAGGTGGCTTCAACGGCCTTGTTAACCGCACAGACAGCTGGCTAACCATCCCTGACTGACTTCAAGTTCTTTTAACTCGAAGATTAAAAAACACTTTCGAGAGGTTTCTGTGACATATATATATAGTTATTGATTTATCTTTTAGATATGCGTAGAATTTTGTAAAAAAAATCCTAAAAAATGATGCTAGAATGTCTCCATCATCTAAGTATCACATTTTTATTGGCTTTTACATTGTCCAATAAATATTTTCTTTCTTTCTATCTATCAAACACAAGTTTAATTTTACTAGCATCATACTATTATTTTTTATCTTTGTTGCACTTTCATAGATAAATATTAGTGTATTTGCTTGTTAAAATGGAAGAAGTCGATAGAATTTTAATACAAAGTTTACGTGATATTGGATGGTAAGTTGGCTATACTAATATTAGTACTTGTTATTAAAAAGTCTCTTTACGTTTTTATAGTCAAGTAGACGATTCACTTCAAAATGTCAGTGAATTCGATGTGAATACTCTTTTCGGTTGTGTTTCACAATGTCTTCAATTAATAACGGGTAATAAAGATTTACCCACACGTTTACCACCAAATATTTCAACACGATTTAAAGTTTGTGGTGAATTGGCACAACTTTGTCAGGTTATAAAATATATATATATACTTTTGTAATCGAAACTTATAAACAGAATTGTATTTAGTAGTCTAATGGTTATAAAGGTGATATTGGTTATCAAACATTTTTGAGTATTAATGAAAATGAAACAAGAAAACTACTTAATTTTCTTATTGAAAAAGTACCAAGAGAAACTGCAGTTACTGTTGCATCAACAACCCTTGGTAAGTAGAATTATTATTGTTTCTTTTTTTTAGCTTGTGAATTAAGAAGATTTTGATATTGCATAATAAAAAATCTGAATTTCGATTTGTAGCTTGATTCGAATATGAAAATAAAAAATCAAAATCTTCTTTTAAAACAACTTTTAGATCCTTGGGATGCTCTTGATCGAATTCTATCACATAGAATCACAACACAATTAGCTGAATCAACATGGATATCACACGACCTTGTTATTGATCTTTGTTACATTCCATTTCATCATCCAGCTGCATCATTTGCTCATAAATCAGTATCATAATTATGAATTTTATTTTCTATATTATTATTATTATTTTTTCAATTAGGGTTTTACGCCAACAAAACGTTCTGAAGTATTACCTCTTCATGTTCCTCCAATTAGTGGCAAGAATAAATTACCAATAAGTACGAGCTTAATATCATATTTTGGTTTTATTCTTATTCAGCTTTTAACATATAGCTTCAAGTTCATATGTTTTTGAACAAGTTGATTTTCGAAATTTGGCTGATTCATTAATGTATGAAAATCAAGTCTCTTGTTGGATAGAACAACAACGAGAGTCAAGTTATTTGGTTTGTTGTTGTACTTTTTAGGAAGTATCTCTTAGTTAAACATTGGTTGTTTTTGTTTTAGATTCCAGGTCAATTGATCACAAAGAAATTTTCCAAAGAAATTTGTCAACAAATTCATGAAGGTGATACAATCGGTGCAAAATATGAATATATAAATCGTGGTGACATGAAAAAGAAAATTGATGATTCATTATTAACACGATCACGTTTTATGCATACAAATATTCATGAACAACAATCAAATGGTTTGAATGAAAATTTAAAACGAAATATTGATCATACAGAAGAATTAGAAACGTTGAAAGCTTCAATTAATGAAAATGAAGAACTTATTCATCAACTTGAATTACAATTACAAAAATTAGAAGAAAGTATTAAAAAAGTAAGTAAACATAATAAATAAAATTATGCATTAGTTTTTGATTTTATTTAGTACGAACGATTTTCCAATGAAACAAAAACAGACATTGATAATATTAATAAAGATATGACAGTAAAAAAACAAGCAGCTGCTTATTTATTATCAGTTGATCCAGAAACAGAACGTTTACAGGTAAAGAAAACTGACTTGTCATTGCAGAGTTAGAATATTAAATATATATAATCGTACTTAGGATTGAAAAGAAGTATTATTCTGATAGTATTATATTGGTAACATGTTCAAGCATACCAGTGGTCAAATGATTTGGTTCATTGACTTCACAGTGTAATTTAAAACAGAAACCTTTTAGATCAATTTAAAATGTTAGAACTTCTTAACGCTTTTCTAGACTTTCTGTACTTGAAACTTACGCTTTATTTAACCTTGGCTAGCGGGATTTCTACTGTAGTATGTGTATCGCATTTGGCTGACGAGAAGAGTCTCCCAATTGATTTTATTTGCTTTTGAGTCGAGACAATGTGCATCATGCGAATCTTAATAGATGATAGATACCCTGAAGACGATTCGAACTCTTACCTTATTGCTGCTGAGATATTGTATTTTTACGGTATTTTTTAAATCAATGCCTTAATCATCTCAGAACCAGTAAAAAGACTCATTTCAGAATTTCGACTTGAAACTTGTCATAGAGACTGACTTGACGAAGACTCATTTGTTGTGAAATTTTCAGATATTGTCGTTGTGTATATCCTAAGATACAGCTATTAAAAAAGCTTGTCTTTTACACTACTCCTATTCACTGGCAAATTTGATGTTCTTACTTCAGATAAGAAGATAGTCAAAAGGCTTGAAACGGCCACGATAAATTATTCTTGTTAAAATCTGTCTATGTGCAAAATTTCAAGTTGAAGCTTGAAAATGAGCTCTCTTAGTATTTCTGAGAGAACAACTGCATTGATTTAACAAATACCGTAACAATCCAGCATCTCAGTACCAATCAACTGAGGACCCGAACCCCATTTTTTGGATATTGACATTCACTAGGTTCTACAATCTGCACATTGTCCATACTCCAAAACGATTCATTAGTTTGATAGGACTTGTTTCGTGAGTTAAGCTGCTCAATGCGTTTTTTTCATGACTATAAAAATTACACGACTATTGCAAACAGGTGTTTCCTCGGAGATATTTTAGATAATATGTTAAAAAATTTGTCGTTATTCAATTTCAAACAATAAATTTGCTTCGTTGCTTATATATATATTGTAATGC